ACCCACAACCTGTCCATGGCACTGCCCGCCGGCTTGCAAGTCCACCTGGGCTATCCCAGGCTCTTCCTGGCACGCTACGTGGAAGGCGTGGAGCTGCAGCACCACTTCAACATTATGTGCAACCACCTGAGGTTCAACCTGCCTGAGGTGCGGTGGCCTGCTGGGGAGGAGGGCGGCCTGCTGGGGAGGAGGGTGGCCTGCTGGGGAGGAGGGTGGGCTGCGGCCGTGGCTGTGGCTGCAGGGTCTGAGTGGTATAGCCTGGAGGCTGGAGAGGAGGTGGAAGGCTTAGGGGCGTGGCAAGCAGAGAGGGGGTGGGGAGGGCCTGGGCCGAACATCCTGCTGAGCCAACCCCTGCCCCTCCAGGTGGCCAGTAGCCTACAGTTGCTCTTGGAATGAGACCTAGGAGTCCCACAGCCCCTGCCCAAGGGCATCCCCAGTGCTCCCTGGCTTCTCTGGCCTCCTCTGGTACTGCACAGGCCCGGCTCACCCCACCCCGTGACCTTTGCTCCCGTGGCTGCAGGCCCTCCTTTGGGTCCCTCAGGTCTCAGCACAGAGCCCTCTTCCCCCCAGGGCTTCCCTGACCTTCCTTACAAAAGAAGCAGGGCAGGGAGTGTGGGCGGGAGGGCTGTGGGCAGGCACAGGTGTTTTAGGGTCACCCCCAGCACTCTGTGGAGAACGGCCAGCAAAGGCTAGGTGACAAGGTGATGCCAGAGGGAGGCCCGGTGGGGAGACGTGGTGGGCAGACAGCGGGGCAGCTTGGGTGTGCTGTGAGGTGGGGGCCGCGGGGCAGAGGGAGGAGGAGGGGTCAGGAGGAGAGGAAAGGAAGAGGGTGGGAGCAGGGAGGAGGCCTCCCACTGTTCTCTCCCTGGGTTTCTGAGGATGGAGAAACCAGCGCTGTAGTTGGGCATGACTTTCTGCATGACTTTACTTTCTGTGGGTGGGGTATATCCTCCAGGACCTCTGCGGGGGCACAAGTGAGGGTAAGTCCAGACCCACCCTGTGGGGAACCCGGGTCATGGGCCTTCTCTGGGCCTCAGTTTCTTTGTCTGTTAGGTGGGTGTCACCCTGGCCTGTGGGCAGCTGGTGGAGTGCTGAAGGCCCCCTGTGCCAGGGGCCCGAGAAGGGCCCTTCGTGTTGGGTCTGTGCCCCACAGCATCCCACCCCTAGAGGCCTCTGCGTCTTCTCGAGGTGCCATTGGGAGCTCCTCCTCCCTCCTCCTGCTGAGGCCCCATCCTGGCATCCTTGGCCTCTGTTTTGGGCCCCAGGGAACCAGTGACCGGGCTACAGGGCCTGCGTGTGGCCCTGGCTCTGCTCCCGCAGCTACCGCACGAGAAGGTGCCAGGCCCCGGTCCCTCCGCAGATGTGTGGATGGGGGGGCTCCCCGAGCAAGTGTGGCCAGGACGCGCCTCCTCCCTGCGGGTGGGCCACCCTGGCCCGGGCTCGTGGTCCGCAGCCCGCCTCTCTGTCGCCACACAGGTGCAGAAAGTCATGCCCAACAACACCTTCTACTTCTCCATCCTGAGGAACCCCGTGTTCCAGCTGGAGTCCTCCTTCGTCTACTACAAAACCTACGCCCCCGCCTTCCTGCGCGCCCCGAGCCTGGACGCGTTCCTGGCCTCGCCGCGGACGTTCTACAACGACAGCCGCCTCCTCAAGAACGTCTACGCCAAGAACAACATGTGGTTCGACTTCGGCTTCGACCCCAACGCGCCGCGCGAGGAGGGCTACGTGCGCGCGCGCATCGCGGAGGTGGAGCGGCGCTTCCAGCTGGTGCTCATCGCCGAGCACCTGGACGAGTCCCTGGTGCTGCTGCGGCGCCGGCTGCGCTGGGCCCTGGACGACGTGGTGGCCTTCAGGATCAACTCCCGCAGCGCGCGCTCCGTGACCCGCCTGGCGCCCGAGACCCGGGAGCGCGCGCGGAGCTGGTGCGCGCTGGACTGGCGCCTGTACGAGCATTTCAACCGCAGCCTCTGGGGGCAGCTGCGCGCCGAGCTGGGGCCGCGGCGGCTGCGCGGGGAGGTGGAGCGGCTGCGCGCCCGGAGGCGCGAACTCGCGACCCTGTGCCTGCAGGACGGCGGCGCGCCCAAGAACCGCTCGCAGATCAGAGACCCGCGCCTGCGCCCCTACCAGTCCGGCAGGGCCGACATCCTGGGCTACAACCTCCGGCCGGGCCTGGACAACCAGACGCTGCGCGTGTGCCAGAGGCTGGTGATGCCTGAGCTCCAGTACATGGCCCGCCTGTACGCCCTGCAGTTCCCGGAGAAGCCCCGCAAGAACATCCCGTTCCTGGGGGAGTAGAGGGGCCGGGGCCGGGGCCGGGGTCGGGGCCTCCTGCGGACAGCAGCCCCTCTCTCCGCCGTCACCGGGGACGCCGGGGATCCTCGAAGGGCTTCTGGGGCGTTGGGAAACCCAGGCCCGCCGGCTACGGCTCTAAAATGAAGAGGGTGGAGACCCCAGTAAGGAGCCGCCCACCCCGACGATCCGCCCAGATCCCTCCCAGAGAGCGCCCTGAGCCCAGGCGGCAGCCCCCCTCCCCCGCCCCCAGGTCCGAGGCTGTGCCTCTGTTCACTGAATAGGACTGAACAGGAGGGCGGGGGAGTAGGGGAAGCTGGATCGCAGGTCAGCATGTGCCCGGCAGGACGCGCATGCCCGTGAGCCCCGGGACTCCCGAGGGTCCTGGGCACTGGGGCTGTGGGTCCTCGGAGGAACTCAGAGTGGCTCCCCTGAATTTCCCGGCGCTGGCGACAAGGTGCTGGTCCCAGAGACAGCTGCAGGCACAGGCAGTGCAGTGCCACAAAGACCAGCCCGGAAACGGGGCAGGGGCCAGAGCGCAGCCGCTCCCGAAGAGCTCCCCATCTTTGGCTGCAGGAGGTTTGGTTCTGATGGAAGGACGTTTTCTACAGAGAGATGGCACAGCTGCTCACAAGACCAGAGCTCTAGCTCGGCTCCACAACCCCTGCTGGTCAGCCCCTAATGCCCCGTGAAGGAGAGGACGTCTCACTTGCCAAAGGAGACTGGAGTGGTTGGGGGTCCACATACCCTTGGTTGCCTTGGAGACCATGTTGGGTGTGGTGCCAGAGGGCAGCTGTGGGCACCCCTCTTCGTCATTCACACGGAGGGACAGAGCCTCCCTGCCTGGCAGGACGTGATCCCTGGCTGCCAGGGGCTCAGCGGGTAAAGGGGTGCACATGCTGGGACCAGCCGATGCCTGGGGCACCCAGGAAACGCAGCTACTCTGCTGCACGCCAGCCTGGAGGTTGAGACCCCAGCAGTGGATCTAGGCCTGCAGGTCTAGGTGTGTCCTTGCTTTTTTTCGGGGGGCAGGGAACCAGTATTTCAAAGAAGAGAGAGAACCCAAACCAGCAGCATAGGCAGCTCCCTCAGACCCCAGTGTAATGGGGGAGCTTCAGAAAGAGTGAATTTTCAGTGAGAGTCGGTTGTGAAGAATGGCACGAGCTCCACTGAGTCAGAGTCAGCCAGGGACCTCAGCAGGTCACCCTCCCTCCTCAGCCCAGGGACCTCAGCAGGTCACCCTCCCTCCTCAGCCCAGGGACCTCTGCAGGCCACCCTCCCTCCCTCCTCAGCCCAGGGACCTCTGCAGGCCGCCCATCCTCCCTCCCCGCTCAGCCCAGGGACCTCTGCAGGCCGCCCTCCCTCCCTCCCCTCTCAGCCCAGGGAAGCCACAGGAGGGGATTCCGCCAGGTAAAGGGAGAGTGGCCCTGGAGGAGCCCACGTGCCAACAACAGGAGTCCCAGAAGACAGAGAAGACCACAGATGAGAAAGCAGGTCACACGGAGAACAAAACATTCCCGGACCACACCCAGGGTCGGGCTGCTCATTCCCGAGGCCCGATAGCGAGATGCAGATGAACTGGGGAAGAAGTGAGATTTTATTTCTGTAACTGGTTACAGGGAGATGCCCCGGAAACGATTACCAGACTTAACTCCAGATTACAGAGTTTTTCCAGAGCTTAACCTTCTAGGCTCTATGTCTACGTGTAAGTGTGATTCATCTAAAGACATACGTGATTAAATTCTTCTAATCTATAAGTTTGAGTCCTGAAGATCTTCCTCTGGAACCTCAGTAAATTTACTTGATCTAAATGGGTCCAGGTGTTTACCCTTATCTTGTCTTCTGCTAAATCATGGAGGTTTGGGGAGTTCCTTCAGAGCCCAGTAAACTTGTTTGTGGAGGCCTGGGGAGTTTTTTCAGACCCCCCAGTAAAACCTGTTTAATACTAAACGGGTCCTGTTAAGAATTCCTTCGTGATCTCGTCATGCCTCAAGGCCCGGGAAAGCCCTGGGCAGAACTCTTGGTGGGCTTTTGTTACTTCCCAGCTTTGTATGAGGTGCTGGCTCTCAGCTTCTAATATTTCACTTCACCCTCAGTCAGTGCTGGACAGTTGTCACAGAGGCCTGCGTCGGTGAGGCCTGGCCTGCCGTGGAAACATTCCCCTGAGTTGAAGAAAGACTCACGGTTTTCAGCATCCAGTTACCCTCTGAGCATCAAGCAGAACCCGCCAGCCCCAAAACCAGGCCCCCTTGGCACACCGGGCCCGAGTGAGCCCAGTCGGAGGAGGTCTGCTTCTGAGCAGAGCACAGGTCATCTCTGGGAGGATGAGCGAGGGTTGGGGCAGTGGCCGCTGCGGTGGCAGCCCTGTCCCCGAACAGAGCTCAGGTCGTCTCTGGGAGGATGAGCGAGGGTTGGGGCGGTGGCCGCTGTGGTGGCAGCCCTGTGCCCAGGCATGGACTCTGCCCTCAGCTTCAGGTACCGAAGAAATGAAGTTACAGGAGGGGCACACTGTCCTTTTGTCTCTGCCTTCGAGGTTGGTGGGAACTGAAACTGGTACCATCTTTTTGAATGGAAATTTGGGGTCTTTCTGGCGACGTAAAATGGTGTGTGGTTTGCAGTAGAGTGTTGAGAACAGCCTGTCCAGGTTGTGCATTGAGAAGGGGCGGTTAAAATGCCGCCACATCGTGCAGCCGTGAAAGGGGGAACACAGTGTGGCCGAAACTGCTTTTGGGGAGGGGGCACGTCCCAGCCTTCTGTGTGATGCTGGGGTCAGCGTGGCCCCTCGGCTGCCAGAGCTCACGAAGGCAGTTAAGGAAAGCTTCCTCCCGGTGGCTTTCATCCCACAGGGACAGAGCCTCAGATGTGCCCAGGGACCTCTGAGCAGCCATGGGCCACGGGGTGACAGTTGGGGGTTGGTGGGACCCGTGGCTGGCATATACCCCAGGTAGACAGTGGCTTGTCCAGGCAGAGATGCCCAGGGGAAGGAGGTGGCACCTGAGGGCAAATCTGGTTTTTCAGGAGAAGCTGAAAACACGGGTTGTTCTGTGAAATCTCTAGATTGAAAAAAGTGGGCTTGAAAAGCCTCAAGGAGAGGGAGTGAGGCCTGCCCCCCATCCCAGCTCTGTGGGTACACCCTGGTCAGACAGCCCTGCTCCAGACCCAGCCTCTGTCTCAGGGTGGCCCAGGAGGGGGCTTTGCAAGGTGATGTGGGGGCTTGGAGGCCCCGTTTCCCTATGAGCCTGGGTGCTTAGGGGATGGCCCTGGTCAGACTCCACCAGGCCCAGACTTGGGGGACAGGAGAAGGGAGATGGGCCACCCAGTTCTGGTTGGGCTGGGGTGGGGCTTCTGAGAGGTGGGGAGGTTGTCCCTTCCCACCCACCTGCCCCAGTATTCTTGGCTGTGAGCAGGAGGATGTGTACAACGGCCAAGTTGCCTGGACTCAGTACGCCCCTCTGGGGGTTGTGAGTGCACAGGGCACTGGTGAGCGGCCCACGGGGTCACGTGGCCCACGGGGGGCAAGCAGATGAGTTGGAAGGAGCTGGGGCCCACTCCTCCCACTTCCTTCTCTCCCACATCCTCCCCGGCCCCCTCCCAGCTGCCCCCAGTAAATCCCCTCAGGCTCCAAGACCTGGAGGGACGTAGCAGGTTTATAATCTCAGCCTGGAAACCACATGACCTCCTGTTTCCCACCACAGCCCCCCAGGTTTCAGAAGCAGTTGAGGACGCCCTTCGCAGGGGAGGGAGGGACAGTGAGAAGGGAGGGTGTTCAGGGCCCAGGGAGCCCCCACAGAGGCTGCCCCATCAGAGCGCACTGGGGACCTGTGGACTTCTCTGAGATTCTGGCCTGGGCAGTGGTCATTTGAGCATCAGTTACCAAGGCTGCCTCCGAAATGGCAGGCCGGGGTCAGGCCAGCATGAATGGGGCTGGCAGGAGTCCTGCAGGGGCAGCTGTGCTGGGGAAGGGTCACCCTGGGCCCTGAGAGGCACAGGACATGGTGATGGGGTGCTGGCCTACCAGAAGCACAGATACGGAGCTGGAGCCCAGCAAGGCCCCAGGGGCCACTGTCCTGTGCTGTGAGGGGCTGTGCTGTGCCAGGGGAGGCCCCGCACCCAGGAAGCCCGGAAGAGAGTGTGCACTCACAGAGCCCTCCTGCCAGGGCTGCATCTCTTGAGCAGCAGACCCCTGTATCCCCCTGAGAGGTCCACTGTGGCCTCACCACAGCCCTTGTTGGAGGGCACATCCCTGTGTCCTCAGTACCCCGGTGTTGAGCGTGTCGACCTGCAGAGGGGAGCCTGTGCTGGCCCCAGGCATCTGTGTGGCTTGTGGGTGCCCATCTGCACCCCTGGCCCCGCTCTGGGCTTCAGTGGAGCTGTGCCACCGTGGGAGTGTCCAGGGTCCTGACGTAGCCCTGGGATGTGGCCAGCTCCCTGGCCTGCTGCCCGCACAGTGGGCCCTTGTCTCTGCTCTGGGTCAGGCGAGGCAGCCACCCATGATGAGCTCTGCAGCCTTCCCGAGGTGGCCGGTGAGTCCCTGCCCTTTCACCCCCAGCGCCCTCACCCCTCTACCCTGGCGCTCGGGGCCAGGACCCGCTCCTGAGGGATCTGTCCCGCTGGCCGGCCCCTCTGTCTGGGGGTGCCGGACGAGTCCCACCGCTTGCCAACTCCAGGGTGGCTCCTCAGCTCTCAAACAAGGGGTGGGCTGCATGGATTCCGAGGGCCCCTCCAACAAGAGGTCCCACACGCGTCTCCCAATGGGACAGTTTCCTGGCCCACAGGGTGGGTGTGACACTGAGGGTTCCTGGGGGCAGATTCAGGGCATGGGATGGAGGCAGATGGGTTGTGAGGGGCCCAATGCAGGGGGCCGGCCCCAGCCCACCGGGTTGTTCTGCAGATGGGCTGGTCGGGGACGCTCTACCAGGTGAAGGGTCTGTGGTTGGAGTCTTCACCCTGGCCAGGGCACAGGACGTTCACAGCGCAGGCTGGGGGTCAGAGCCGCCGAGGGCCCCCGCCGGGATCCTGCGCAAAGCTTTGGCCTCTGCCCTTTACGTGGGCGCGTGTGAATGCCCCTCGCCAAGGTGTTCCTACACCTGACGGGTCCCAGGACAAGAAGTGCTGACCCCAGAGGGTGTGTGCGGAGGGCTTGGGCTGACCTCAGGGCTCTAGGGGGGCCCACACAGGATGGCCTGCGAGGGGTGGGGGTGGGGGGTCTGTGATGGCCCCCTGCCAAGCCAGAGTGAACCCCACAACTGGTCCAGGGGTCCAGGGGCCAGAAGGCCAGGTTCTCCTGGAGGTCCCATCTCCCCCAGGCCTTGGTTTCCCCTTCTGTGACTCCACACCCCTTAGAAGGGCCCTGTCAGGGAGGGCGGGGGCACTGGTTAATGTCCAGGACACAGCCGTCCCAGTCAAGCCAAACCTCTGGAACATGCTGAACTGGCCGCACTGAGCAGGGCTGGCCTCTGAGACGGAGGGGCCTGCTGAGGACACGGAGGCTCTGTGGAACCCAGGGAACTGGCCGCACTGAGCAGGGCTGACCCCTGAGACAGAGGGGCCTCCTGAGGACACGGAGACTCTGTGGAACTCAGGGCCTGGCTGTGGCAAGGATACCCCAAGCCAAGTGTGTGGCAGCCTTGTCCTCTCTGTGGGCCTCAGTTTCCCCTCTGTGCAATGAGGGGAGTGACCAGCTGGTTTCTGGAGCCTCCTTCCCTCCCTCTCTGTCCCCAGGAGTGGGCCCGGGCCTCACGTCTGCAGGGGGTGCTGACGCCGGCTCCTGTGGCCCGGGCCTTGGGGAGGGAGCCAAGTGCCGAGAGAATGTCTTGCTTGTGCCTGCTCAGCCCAGAGGGACACGTGGCATCTGCACCTGCTTCCCGCTTGGGCACAATTGCCCTTTGAGAGCAGAGCCAGGGGCTTCTTGGGGACAGGAAGCTGCTCTCAGAAGCCGCACACTGGTGGTGGGGGAGCAGCAGGAAGGGGCCGGCCAGCTGTCCTAGCCAAGAGCCTTTCAGGAACGGGCAGCCCAAGGCAGAGGTGGCTGGAGGTGGAGCTGTCTGTTCGGGCCTCAGGTGTAGGGGCAAGGCCTGCCCGGGTTTTGCATGACTGTTGCGCCTTTACCTGGGTCTCCATCGGTCCCACCTGACTCATGAGTGTGCGTGGGTCCCCGTTGTAGGCAGGCGTTGTGCCCTGGCCAGGTGTGGTGTTCGGCATCTGGCCATCTCCCTCCTCCATCCTTCCCTTAGCCTCCCAACCAGGTGCCCCGTGTGCCCAGCCTGGGTGACTGGCCGTGGCTCTGACCGCTCCAAGTCCTGCACGGTGGGTATCAGCGTTCCCACCTGTCTGCAGCTGCGCCACCTCCCCGTGCCAGGCTGTGCGTGCTCACGCTTGGCCCGGCCTGGCTTTGTGCGGTCAGACCGAGAGACCCCCAGGCAGGTCCCGCCTGCAGCAAGCAGACCCCATACGTGCCCCAAATGCCCGCTCACCCGGGCCCTGCCCTGGTGGGTGTTGTCGGGGAGCCCCACTCAGCTTTGGGGCTTCTGATTCCTGTGGGTGCTTCTCAGGTCAGGGCCTGCAGGTGCAAAGCACCAGGCAGTGGGGTGGGGGCACTATGGGGCCAGCTGCCTGCAGGCAGGGGTCTGATCACAGAGCACCTGTCCCCTGCAGGATCCCTGGCTGTGGGCGACCAGATGACGTTCAGGAAGTGGGAGCGGGTCCCCTGTCCCCTGTCCCCTGTTCCCGTGGCTCCCAGCAGTCCCTGTGAGCTTACCTCTTTGTGTCTCTGCTGGGGCTTCTATTCTGGGGACACTGAGCCTCTCCTTGCTCGAGGTTTTGGGTCCTGATTGTCCACATGACCTCCTGCTGGGTGAATTCCGGGATGACCCTGTGTCCTGGGCACATGGCTGGCAGGGTCCCGGGGCTCTCCAGCCAGCCTCCCCTGCACCTCCGCACCAACCAGCCTGGCCGAGGGTCAACTCCCAGAGCTGTGTTGAGAGGGGAAGGTCTGATTCCACAGACATTTGGGGTGCAGGGGGTGTGAGGGTGGGCTGGGGAGGGGCTGCTCCAGATCTGGGGTGAGGGAGTCAGAAACAGGGCTGACCCCAAGGTGGGTACAGGAAGAGCCCTAGGTGTGGGCAGGAGCTGTCTGCGCCTCCTGAGCCCCTTCCCCAATCCAGAGGAGGAGCGAGTGTGGGGCTCCCTGGGCCTGCCTTGCTGACCTGTGGCCCTGCACTGACCAGCAGAGCATGGGGGCCCCTCATACCCCTTCACGGACAGTGCTTTTCGAGCGGGAGAGGACCGGCCTGACCTACCGCGTGCCCTCGCTGCTCCCCGTGCCCCCCGGGCCCACCCTGCTGGCCTTTGTGGAGCAGCGGCTCAGCCCCGACGACTCCCACGCCCACCGCCTGGTGCTGAGGAGGGGCACGCGGGCCGGGGGCTCCGTGCGGGTGAGTGGCCGGGCCCACTGGAGCTGCACACCCGGGGACAGGGGCGGGGGTGGCGGTGGCAGGCGGGTGCCCGAGATAGAGATGAGCAAACCAGGCTCAGCTGTCTCGGGTGCCCCACGGGGGGCTGTGCCCAGGTCCCTGGATGTCCTGGTCAGCGGCACTTCCTCCTCTGGGCAGTGGGGCGCCCTGCAGGTGCTGGGGACAGCGGCCCTGGCAGAGCACCGGTCCATGAACCCCTGCCCCGTGCATGACACTGGCACAGGCACCGTCTTCCTCTTCTTCATCGCGGTGCTGGGCCACACGCCCGAGGCCGTGCAGATCGCCACGGGAAGGAACGCTGCACGCCTCTGCTACGTGGCCAGCCGTGACGCTGGCCTCTCATGGGGCAGCGCCCGGGACCTCACCGAGGAGGCCATCGGTGGTGCCGTGCAGGGTAGGTGGGCAGGGTGTCGGTCTGGGTCCCTCGGATTGGCCACGGTCCACATGGAAGGGAGATTCCAGCTGGAAATGTCCATTCTGCCCACCCCCGCCCCTGCCTCCAACAACCAACCGGCCCTCTCCCCAGGACTGTCCTGAGCCTCCCGTCCCAGGCAAATGGGTACTGGTCGCCACCCAGTCCACCCGGTGGGCAGGAGCAGGCCCTCTGTGGCTGATCAGACTCTCATCCCCCCGGTCATCCCTTTATCTGCAGAGGAGAAGGCTGGATGCTGAGGTGTCTCTCAGCTCCCAAACCAACAGCCACCCCGCCCCACCCCTTCCTCTTATTCTTTACTCCCTTCTCACCCTGCCCAGGGCCTGGCCAGGCCTCGCCCACAGCTTTCCCTCCACCCCGTCCTCTGTGGCCACCTGACCCTGGCCTGTGGGAGCCACAGCAGGGAGTGGAGCAGATACATGGCGGACCCCAGGACCCCACCGCAGGGCCTCACTCCCCCTGCCCGCCCTCCGCTGCATCGGTATGGGCAGTGCTCGCCAGCCTCCCTGGGTGCCGTCCACCGGGCCCGGCTGCTAAGGGCTGGGAGAGACTTGGCAGCCTGGGAGGACTCAGGGCGGCTGCGATGAGTTGTGTGGAAAGGTAGTCAGAGTGCGACGGTCCTAACCCGAGGCACCAGCCCGACCCCTGTGCCTTCCTCCATCCCCCCCACCTCGGGGACTCAGCAGCCCCTCCCACCTCAACCCTCCTCCCCACAGACTGGGCCACGTTCGCTGTGGGTCCCGGCCACGGCGTGCAGCTGCCCTCAGGCCGCCTGCTGGTGCCCGCCTACACCTACCGCGTGGACCGCCGAGAGTGTTTTGGCAAGATCTGCCGGACTAGCCCCCACTCCTTCGCCTTCTACAGCGATGACCACGGCCGCACGTGGCGCTGTGGAGGCCTCGTGCCCAACCTGCGCTCGGGCGAGTGCCAGCTGGCGGCAGTGGATGGTGGACAGGCTGGCAGCTTCCTCTACTGCAATGCCCGGAGCACCCTGGGCAGCCGCGTGCAGGCACTCAGCACTGACGAGGGCACCTCCTTCCTGCCCGCAGAGCGAGTGGCTTCCCTGCCCGAGACCGCCTGGGGCTGCCAGGGCAGCATCGTGGGCTTCCCAGCCCCTGCCCCCAGCAGGCCACGGGATGACGGTTGGTCAGTGGGCCCCGGAAGTCCCCTCCACCCTCCACGCCTTGGTCCGGGAGTCCATGAACCCCCAGAGGAGGCTGCTGGAGACCCCCATGGAGGCCAGGTGCCTGGTGGGCCCTGCAGCCATCTGCAGCCTCAGGGGGACGGCCCCAGGCAGCCTGGCCCCAGGCCTGGGGTCAGTGGAGATGTGGGGTCCTGGACCCTAGCGCTCCCCATGCCCTTTGCTGCCCCGCCCCAGAGCCCCACGTGGCTGCTGTACTCCCACCCAGTGGGGCGCAGGGCTCGGCTGCACATGGGTATCCGGCTGAGCCGGGCCCCGCTGGACCCGCACAGCTGGACAGAGCCCTGGGTGATCTACGAGGGCCCCAGCGGCTACTCTGACCTGGCGTCCGTCGGGCCGGCCCCTGAGGGGGGCCTGGTTTTCGCCTGCCTGTACGAGAGTGGGGCCAGGACCTCCTATGATGAGATTTCCTTTTGTACATTCTCCCTACGTGAGGTCCTGGAGAACGTGCCCACCAGCCCCGAGCCGCCCAACCTTGGGGACAAGCCTCGGGGGTGCTGCTGGCCCTCCTGACAGGCCTTCTGGCCGTGCCCATGCCCCTTGGGTGCCCGGGACAGAGGGGTGGAATATGCTGGGGTGCCCCAGGATGGATGTGGGGGGGGCTCTTAGTGCAGAATCCTGTGGATTAGAAACAAGTTGCTCCTCAGAGTTCTCAAGCAGGGGTTGCTCTTCAGGAAGGGGAGCAGCGGCTGGGAGTGAGCAGGACAGGGTAGGGGAGGAAGTGGGCCCTGGGCGACCCCCCACAGCTCCCTCCCGAGGCTGCAGGACCAGGCACGGGACTGCAGGAAGCGCAGGGTATTGTGGGTGACAGCACTTGCTTGCTGGCTGCTTTCTGGCTCGAAATAAAGGAATCGTGCTTGTGTCGGGGTAGACGTTTCTTTCCTTTGCAGGTTCCGGTTCCAGCCCTGGGGAGGGGAGCTCTGCTCTAACCCGCTTCTCTGACCCCCATCCCAAAATCTCACTGCCTTGGCAAAGCTCTGCTTCTCAACATCCCGGGGCCAGCAGAGGGAGGGCAGGAGGGAGGAAGCGGCTTCCACCCTTGGCCTCCTGTGCGGTGATTTGCAAGTGGTCTGCTGCACTCTCTGAACTTCCTACCAGAGGAGTAGGAGGTAGGGCCTCTCCCCGCAGAGCTGGACACCAGGAGGGGGTCACCTTCCAGGACCAGCCCTGTGTCCCGCTCCCCTGACCCCACCCTGCAGAGGGCTTGGGCTCCACTGGGGCTGTTTCCCCAGGGAAGTTCCTTTTTATTTATTCTCCTTTTAAAGTCTTCATTTCTGATGACAAAAGCAACATATGCTTACTGTAGAAAATCTGGAAAATGAGCTGGGCACAGTGGCTCACGCCTATAATCCCAGCACTTTGGGAGGTCGAGGCAGATGGATCACCTGAGGTCAGGAATTCGAGACCAGCTTGGCCAACGTGGTGAAATCCCGTCTCTACTAAAAATACAAAAATTAGCTGGGCATCGTGGTGGGCACCTGTAATCACAGCTACTTGGGAGGCTGAGGCAGGAGAATCACTTTAACCTCGGAGGCGGAGGTTGCAGTGAGCCAAGATTGTGCCACTGCACTCCAGCCTGGGCGACAGAGTGAGACTCCAAAAAAAAAAAAAAAAAAAAGAAAGAAAGAAGGAAAAAAAAATATCTGGAAAATGTAGAAAGCTATAAAGAAAAAAATAGAAGTGAGCCCTGGGCCCCTCTCTCCACGGGCCTTTCCTTCTGGCTTCAAGTGCTCCTGCCCAGCCTGCTGCCACGCCCGTGGATGACGGCACCAGCTGGGGGGTGCACATGTGTGCCACCTTCTTCCCAGCCCTGAATTGTGTGTGATGGGCTCCTTTGCGTGTCACTGGGTCTGGTCACCCCTTGGGCTGGCTTCGGTGACCATTCCCAAGGGCGGGGACCCACAGCCAGCCCCCAGCAGTGAGGGGCATCCAGGTGGTCTCTGAGTCGCCGAAGGTCCCCAGGGGAGCAGAGATGACCTCCCCTTGCGGCCCCCTTTTCCCCAGCAACTGCTCTGCTGGGAGGGCTGCTGCCTGAGAGGGGCCACCACTGGGTTCCAGGCAGGGGCAGGATGGGGGCCTGGATCCGGGGCCCCTGAGAGCCCTGAGTTCCCACAATCACCCCAGGCCCCTCCCCCACCTCAGGCAGCCTCAGCCTGTCATAGGAGGGGCCCCTTGCCCAGGCCCTGGCAGTGCCGGTTTTAGGGGGTCTGTGTCTTAGTGCCTTGGGGCTGCTAAAATGAAATATATAGACCAGGGGGCTTGGAAACAACAGATATATATTTCTTATGGTTCTGGAGGCTCAAAGTCCAAGGTCAAAGTCTGTGATCATGAGAGCAGGCTCCGTGTCTGGTAAGGGCCCTGTTTCTGGCTCATGGATGGCGGCCTCTGACTGTGTCACACACGGCAGGAGGGAGGTCTCTCCTGGGTCTCCTGTATGAGACGCTATCCCATTCATGAGGGCTCCACCCTCCCAGGAGGCCCCACCTCCTGACCTTATCACCTTGGGGTTAATATTTCAACATGGGAATCTAGCGCTCATGTGTAGATCACGTGCTTTGTGCATCCTATCATGCGTGTGTCCTGCCTCATGGCACGTGTGTAGGTTGTGTGCTGGGTGCATCCTGCCATGCGTGTCCTGGCTTGTGGCGTGTGTGTAGGTGGCGTGGCTGGGTGCATCCTGCCACGCATGTGTTCTGGCTCACGGCACATGTAGGTCGTGTGCTGGGTGCATTCTGTCATGTGTGTGTCCTGGCTCGTGGCACGTGTGTAGGTCATGTATTGGGTGCATTGTGTCATGCACGTATGTGTACTGGCTTGTGACGTGTGTGTAGGTCGTGTGCTGGGTGCATCGTGTCACGCGTGTGCCCTGGCTTGTGGCTAGCAGGGTCATCACAGTCCACTCTTCTGCCTTCAGATCGGAACCAAAGGAGCCACAGGCCTCTCTGGGGTTCTGGAAGCTGTGGAGCCCAGTGGGGCTCTGCACGGCCCATTCTTCTTCATTTGCTTCTATACTGGGGTGAGCGGCGTCCCCAAATTCATGTCCCTCTGGAAGCTCAGCCTGCTGCCTTATTGGAAGTAGGGCCTTTGCAGACATGATGGAGTAAGAGGAGGCCATACTGGATTGCAGTGGGTTTAGCCCAGTGATGACTGTCCTTGTGAGCCACAGACGCAGGGAGAAGCCGTGTGAAAGTGGAGGCAGAGGCTGCAGTGACGCCACCACCAGCCACAGGGGCTGCTCAGAGCTGGAAGAGGCTGAAGGACCCTGCGCTGGAGGCTTCAGAGAGGGTGCGGGCCTGTCACCCTTGGCTTCAGACTCGGCCTCCAGAGCCACGAGAGGATGCATTTCCATCGCTTCAGCCGTCGGTCAGTGAGATTTGTTGCGGCAGCCTAGGAAGCAGCACACCTTCCCACCTTTGCCCTCTGTCTGTCTGTCCATCCGTCCGTCCACGTGGGCCTCAGACCCTGGGGGTTCCTGGCCATCACTGCCTGGCCGTGTGCAGCCTCAACCTCGTGTCAGACCGACTTGGGCTGGAGGTCCCAAGGAGCTCCGGTCGCTGTGGCAGAGCCTCTCAACGCCATCCTGGGCTGTCTGCGGCTGGGGCACCCTCTGAGCTGGGGTTGGGTCCTGAAGGAGCCAGGGCCTCGGAGCCCTCGCCCCACCTGAGGAGGCACTGGCTCCTCCAGGTCTGGGCAACTGCTCAGAACCGGGGAAGGCTCTGCAGGTGTGATCCCCCAGGCTGGGAGAGGGTGTGTGGGGAGGCTGCCTGGCTCAGGGCAGGTTGAGCCCTTCCTCCTGCCCTCCTGCCCCTGCCCCAACTGCAGCGGGACCTGCCAGGGGCTCAGGACATTTGAGGTCTGCTGGTGGGGGGTCGCTGTGCACTTTCCTCCTACTGCACTGGGAGTTCCTCTGGCATCCTGGGAGGCCTGTGCCTCCAGAGAGACCAGCCCCCTCCAGAGAGACCAGCCCCCTCCAGAGAGACCAGCCCCCTAGATTCCTCCCACCACGGGCGGCTCCCCTGGCACCCGACCAGCTCCTGAGCTCCTGCCCCACCTCCGCACTCCTGACGGCTGCCCTCCCAGCCTCTTTTCCTTCCTTGCACCCCGATATGGTTTGGATCTGTGCCCCCCCAGTCTTACGTGGAACTGTGTGTAATTCCCAGTGTTGGGCCTGGTGGGAGGTGACTGGGTTATGGGGTGAATCCTCACGACGGGTTTACTGCCTTCGCCTCGGTGCTGTCCTCACGACAGCGAGTTCCCCCATGACCTGGCTGTTTGAAGGTGTGCGGCACCCCCCGCCTTGCTCCTGCTTTCACCATGTGACGCGCCTGCTCCCCCTTCTCTTCCACCAGGATTGCGGGTTTCCTGGGGCCTCCCCGGAAGCCGAGCAGAGGCCAGCACCACACTTCCTGTAGAGTCTGCAGAACCGGGAGCCGATTAAACGTCTTTTCTTTAAGAATCGCCCAGCCTCTGGTGTTCCTTCACAGCAGGGTGAGGGGGACACCCTGAGCCTTAGGGGCAACGCCTGCTGCTGTCCCCAGGCCGGGCCGGGCAGTGGCTCAGGAACGTGGCTGGGAACACGGTGCCAGGGCCGGGGTCAGGGCTCTGTCGTGGAGGTAGGATGTCTTTGTGGTTCCTTCCTAACCCTCATCCTTTTACCTCTTGTCCTGGCTTACGGGGCTGGCAAGGACCTCTAGGAAGACGTTAAACAGCCTTGACGTCTGATAGGCCAAACAAGCGCTTGGAAGCTGTCTGCGTCCCCACTCCGGGGGCCTGCACCATGACGTCACTGCGAAGGGCTGCGCAGAGGGCGCCGGCTGAGGGTCTTGAGGTGAGAAATCATCCTGGTCATCTGGGTGGGTCCAGGGTCTCACCAGGGTCCCTATGGGAGGGGACAGAGGGTGGGAGAGGAGGGAAGACGCCTTGCAGCTGGGTCTGAAGACGGAGGAGGGGCCACAGCTGAGTAGCTGGTAGCCTCTGGAAGCTGGGAAAGGTAGGAAGCGAAGCCCCCACAGCCTGCAGAGGAAACAGCCCTGCAGATGCCTTGATGTTAGCCCAGGGAGGCCACCTCAGAGCTCCAGCCTCTAGAACTCCTGGGGATGCATTTGTGTCATTTCAAGCTCCAGGTCTGTGTGATTTGCAGCCTCGGGAAACAGTTGTGGGGCCACCAGGGTCCCGCCCTGCTCCCACCTTCTGGGGTCCAGGACGCGGGCGTTGGACCTCTCACCGTCCGCGTGGCCCTCTGCTGTGCACTCTCCTCCTTGTTGGTGTCTGTGCCGCATTCTGGTTGGTTTTTCTCGGCTTTTTTTTTTTTTTCCCCCTATTCACTAATTCTCTCTTTGCTGTGTGTAATCAGCTGGGAGTTACTCTCTTGCTCCCTCTCTCCCTCCCCCATCCTTTCTCTGTCCTTGTCTCTCTGTCTCTGTGTCTGTCTCTGTTTCTCTTTGTGTTTGTGTCTCTCTCTGTCTCTGTGTCTCTGACTGTCTCTCTTTGTGTTTGTGTCTCTCTGTCTCTCTGTGTCTGTGTCTCTGACTGTCTCTCTTTGTGTTTGTGTCTGTTTCTTTCCATGACTCTCCCTCTGTGTCTCTCTTTGTGTCTCTGACTCTGTGTCTCTGTCTCTCTGTGTTTCTGTCTCTCTCTGTGTCTCTGAGTCTGTCTCTGTCTCTTTGTGTCTCTGACTCTGTGTCTCTGTCTCTCTGTGTCTCTGTGTCTTTGTCTCTCTGTGTCTCTGCCTCTTTCTGTGTCTCTGAGTCTCTCTCTGTGTCTCTGTCTCTGTGTCTCTGAGTCTCTCCCTGTGTCTCTGTCTCCCTGTGTCTCTCCCTGTGTCTCCCTTTCTGTTCTTCTCCACGACGTTCTCTGTGTTTGACTTTCTG